TCGCTCAGCTACTGCGGGAACTGTCCCCGCACAAGGCCGGTGGCCCGGATGGTCTTAGCGCTCGCATTTTGCGTGAATGCTGCTGCGATACACGTTGAGTAGGAATGCAAGATCGGCCTGTAAGTACAAAGCGGGACTTTATCGAGCACAGACCAAATCGGTTCAGAAGACACACATAATCTAGACTGGAGCCATCTCCGTCGGAATTCAATGCTAGCCACATCAAAAAACGGTGCTGCATTCGCTCGAGCCGCACAAGGTGGGTCTTTGCAGCATCACTCCAAACAACCGTACCCAGCTATTGAGCGAACATGAGCCTTGTAGGCGGCAAGCAATGCAGTTCGATTGATATTGACCCGCCGGGGACATCGAGGCATCTGTACACTTCGCATTAATTATCAGGCCTAACATCTTATTACATTTCCGTATAGTGGCATCAACATGTTGCGCAAATGTAAGCCTAGCGTCCAAAAGAATGCCCAAGTCGCGCACCTCTTGACAACGAAAGAGCGCGTGACCGTTCAATGTGTAAGTCGACAGAATAGGAGTTGTCCGAAGGGTGAAAGTGATCGTCTGGCATTTAACTGGATTAAGTTTTAGCTTCCATGTTTTAAACCAGTCATGAAGTTTTTACTCCAATTGAATGTAAAATGTATGCATAGATGGGTATGTTACGTAAATCCGCAGCTATGTAGATATAGAAAATAATGATGAGCTTCATTTACATAGGTACCTAGAATGAACTGAAACGGTGCCAATGTCGGCTGACATGACGCATCTATTTCGAGATGTCCATTCTTTAAAGGTCTAAACGCCAAAGTTTGCCGGTCCCATAGCTCAGTCCGTAGAGCGTTGGACTCCGCGTGGTGAGAGCACGCGTTCCCAGTTGCAACAGCCCGGATTCGAAGCGCGACGGGCGCTTGACGTTTATGGGCCTCCTGACAGGTAAATATGGTTGCGGTTGGTGGCAGGCCGTAGCCAGGTGAAGTCAGTGAGCGTACCGGCCGTGCACGGCTATACGTGCGCACGTTAAACTTTGGACTCTAAATTCTACCATAGAACAGGAATTGCACAATCGGAGGGAAGAGGGCAGGATCAACGCAACAAGCATCGCTTAGCGGGAGCTCTGTCCTTGTGAATCCTTCCATTCAAAAGCTTCAAACTAAATTTTTAAAAAATAAAATAAAAAAGGTCATCCAATCCTGACAAGTGACAACTTATTCATGTTTCGACGTTTCGTGATACATCCGGTCTCCTTACACCGGCTGCGATTGTCCAACGCTTGTTACTAACAAACAACATCGGATTCCAGACCTCGCATTCTTTTTGCACAGACCATCTGTCATAACGCGTTACAAACAATTTTGACATGTACCCAATGTGTATTCATCCAGGTAAGTGCATAATATGTATATGTGACAAGCTCTTGAAGCCTACAACGATGCCTGATTAGGCTGAAATACACCAAGAGTCTGGACTGAACCACGAAGTGGTAAACGTGATTGGATATACTGTGCCGGAGGACTTCGAGGTGCGGCGGGCTAGCCTACATGACAGGCATCCATTTCGTTAACAATAAGCCGTTCGTCGTGGTAGGAAAGCGTGTGATGCTCTCCTGTATAGCGCAATGTCTGGAAAACACACTATATTTATTTTCATTCGATTCATTTCATTCTGCACTATAATTAGTGTTAGCACTACACATAACGTACAGTGGGTCTATTTAAGATCTCCAGAGCCACCACGTGGCGCTATACGGTCGGGGTAGGGCGAGTCCAAATCCCGAGGGAAGTGAGGTCACCGGTCATTGTGGGGGAAGGAGGGAGGGGGAGTGACGCGGTATCACGGCGCATGGGGCGTGCGTAGCGCCGGGAGTGGGCCGCCCAGGGCCGCCCGCCACTGCGCCGAGGCTGAGGGGAGGGGGTGATGGTTGCGGGTGCGTTCACTCCGGTATGGTGGTATCCTGTTCATGTGGAACCAGCAAGAATGTGACTGAAGGGAATCATTATCGCAACCAAACGAACAAGCGAGAGGCAGCGCCAGTTCCAGCCAAAATCTTGAACTATGATAATTGAAATCTAGGACGGATAAATAGCATGCAACTATTCAGTCGATAGTTGCATGATGTCTTAGACTTTTCTAAACTGTTATTTGAGTTTGGTATTTTTTCATTTGGCACGTTCAGTTTTGGTGGGTTTTATCGGGTCGAAAAGAGTCCGAAAAGAAAGAGTTGAAATGGCTCCAGAAAAATGACCAAAAAATATTTTCTTTAAAAATGAAACTTAGCTAAACATTTATAAGCGATAATTTTGACTCTTTTTTTTTAGAGGATATTGGGGAAAGATGTTGGTGAAAGATATCATCATGCTTGTCTGTGATGCAGTAGAAGGAAAGGTTTTGGTTCGTGTCCAGATAAAACCAGACCCGGGAGTGGGACTCGTACTCACGACATCGCGTTCAGCTCACAGGTTACCCAACCTCAACACCACGAGCACCTATCGGCCTGCGAGGCTTGCTCAGTGCTACGGCTAAAGTTCGGCCAGTGTCTGACGTCTGTCAATGTCACGAGGCGAAACCCCTAAGTAAATGTCCGTCCCGGTAGCTCGGTCGTTGGGGCGTTGGACTCCGTGTGGTGAGAGAGAGCGCACGTCCCGGTTGCAAAAGTCCGGGTTCGAAACGCGACGTGTGCTTGGCGTTTTTGAGCTCAATTGACGGGTATGGTTATGATTGGTGGCAGGCCGCTGCCAGGCGATTAAGGGACCGGCCGTGCGCGGCTACGTGCGCACGTTAAAATTTGGACTAATTCTGCCATAGACCCGGAATTACTTGATCGGAGGGTAGAGGTCAGGGTCAACGCAACAAGCTCAGCTTAGCGGGGACTCTTTCCTTGTGATTCCTTTCATTCAAAAGGTTCGGGCCAAATTTACATTAAAAAAGGGGGAGCCGAACCATGTTGGGTCGGGTTGAACCCGGTTGGACCTGTGTCTTACACGCAATCATGGTCAGAGAAAACAGAGGTCAATTTCGGGTCAAATATTTTTATTAACCGATCTTATTGTTTTTTTTTAGCTTACACATATAATAACTTAAAGCTTTTTTTAATCGAGACTTCATGCACAAAAATGTGGCATTCGTCCGCTTTTCCTCATCTTCTCTCAGCGACTTGATTGGACCTTAAATCTTACCAGCAAAAAATAAATCCCCTGCGTAATCATCATTTGCCCAAGGCTACGCAAGAAACGCCAGCCGGTCAAAAAACTGGCGAACGATACGATGCCTATTTCTAGTGCTTGAATTGTATTCAATGAAAATTTCAGCAGACATAATTAATCTTAATCCTTAGCTACCGGGCGCTCGGAGCATTCGCTAGCATTCCATTGCCAGCTGCAATTATCAACATCATATTTGCATTACTTTGGGTTCATCATAGTTGACAGTAGATGAACCGACCACAGCAAACCCATGCCTCATTATCCTTTCCTTCCAAGCAGCCAAGCTAACCGGCCGCCCGGCCCACCACCGCGATATACCGGGTGGCCCAGAAAAAAACGTTCCCAACTTTAAATCAATGTTTCTCAGAAAGTGATAAAGATACAACACTGAAACTTCGAATAGTCAATGCGGCACACATTTTCAGTAAATGGTGTGATTTTCATGGTGTTCGGTAAATAACTTTTTAAACGGTTTGTGTTTCAAGCACGCCATGTAAAAATTACTTTTTTGCTCCGATGTTTACTAAAAAATGTGAGTGAACGGGTCACTTTCACCCCGCGGCACCGCGGCCTAGAGCCATGACTTCTACTGGCAGCTAGTCTCACTGATGGTTCGGGTCTCAGGATGACACATTCACTCAGGCAACCACGATGGCTCTGTGCTAGCGGCATCGGAAGAAGTTTCCAGTTTTCTAACCATCTTGTGGCTCAAATGCTTTCCTGGCTGACATTCCTGGGAAAAGGTAGCTCTTCAACCAGATTTTTTTTGGCATCTGCTGGCAATGTTGTTTTTCATAAGCTATTCTGTGGTCCTCTGGCACAGGAACCAGTCTGCTTTAGTTTGTTTTCCTTATCCGGTCGATTTACTGTTTGATCTACTGAAAGGAGGGTAATCAGCAGTAATCCATGCACCGTGCCACTCCTGCTCGAAACATGATTTGGTGTTGAAACGAATGACATCCATGAGCACCATTTTGGCTCAGTATTTGAATATTTGGCACATAAGTGAGACAAAAATATTTAAAATAAGAACATACGTGTTGGTTTCATTCACGTGCTCTATTTTTTATTCTTTTTTATAACATGGGACGTCTAACCCAATCATCACTATCGTTTGACATCGGCAAAAAAAGCAAAAAGGTCTTGCTTAATTCAACGCAAGATTGCCAGCTTGAAAATGATGGTATAGTGTTATAATTTGGCATACCAATGCGCAAAGAAATGACGCAAACTTGATGAAAATTTTGGCTTGCTATTTGTACTCGTAGTTGATATATAGGCTTCCAAAGTTCGGAACGTTTTTTCTGGGCCACCCGGTAGAACAACACTGGAGTGCGCCATTTGCCTGCGGCAGTGCCCCACCACGCCGGGGCTGTTTGACAGGTCACCCGTACCGTGACCTCGCCCCCCCCCCCCCGCCCACCTCCCCATCGGGCCCAGCTCGGTACTGACCTCCCCTTGAATTTGACATGGACTCGACTGAGGCTCAACGCCATCTAGTAACGTCTGGAGATCCTTACTAGATCCACTGTACATTTCCGAACAAATGACGGTGCGTTTGTAATGTGCGTTTTATCGTAGAAGGATCAAGCAATGATCTTGTTTACGTTTTGAGCTAGTTCAAAAAGCATCCAGCGCTATGGTAAGAGATGTCAAAGGGTTCGGATTACACTTTCTAAGGTGGAGCTGTCCGAACTTTTCAAAAATCGGAAATACTTATGACTGTGATTAAATATATCTAGGCCATGATAAAGCATATCTTAAATCGACTGATTGAACCGTCATCGTCTATCCGGTCCGGGAAACGCGGCGCCGACAGCGTTTCACGGCGATCTCTGTGACCAGCGACAGCAGCGCGGCGGCCCAGCCCATCATCAGGAGCAGGAACGGGCCCTGGAGCGCCTCCAGCCCGAGTCGGCTGAGGCGCCCCTCAGCATCTCTGGCCGGCTGATCGGGTGACTTTTCCCCGACGGCCAACTGCCTGCCGACTGCTCGCAGCGCGCTGCGAGACCAGTGCTGCATCAGACCGGCCTCGGTTAGACGACTCACCGCCACGTTCAGTAGAGGAGTGAGAAACGAGCGGCGCGGCAGCGCTATGCCCACCATGAAGCTGCCGAAACACTGGCGCATGATGCGCAGCAGCGGCTCACCGCTGGCCGTCGTGTAGTATTTGCGGATCAGGTACGCTAGAGACATGCTGTTGACAATATAGGTACCCTTGTGGTCGTAAGCGCGCCGCAAAGTCGCGCGGATGTCGTACGTGGGTTCGTAATTCAGTGCCAGCCGGCGGTCCCAGTAGTTGGTCGAGGCGTTGAGTAGTTCTCCAAACATGCTGCCGTAGCCGGAGACGGTGACGCCGCTCAGAGCCAGCTCCTGCTTGGTGTCGAGCGGCGCCGGAGCCAGCGGCACCGTCAGGTTAGCGATCAGCTTGCTGCTGTAGACGACGGCCAGTGTGAGCGCGCAGAAACGCCAGGTGCCCATGAAGATCTGCCCAGAGGCGGCACGCGGCAGGGAGGCGTGCGACACACCCACCAGGCCGCCCAGGCTGTAGAGCGCCACGAACCCCGGCTGGCTGAACAGCGGGCTCTCGCGCGGCGCGGCGGCGCGGCCCAGCACCAGCACGGTTAGCGCACTGACGGCCAGCAGGGCGCCGGCCGCTGCCCAGCCGCTGGCCGAGAATGGCCGCAGCAGCGCCAGCCAGCGCGGCAGTGGCGGCGGCTGCCACACCACGAAACACGCCTGCTCAAAGTCGTACGGCCGGCTGAAGTCGATGATCTGAGAGCGCGGCTGTGTGATAAAGAGGTTGGCCATGCCGAAGTGGGCGCGCCGCTGCACCATGTCCCCCACCAGGCCAGTCCAGTAGCCGAAGCCGTTGTCACCCCAGCGCAGGCCGTCGGAAGGCTCAGAGAACAGCAGAGTGAAGTTGTAGAGCCGCGCGGCAAACTGTGCAACATATGGATCGACGCCGGCCAGCCGGCCGGTCGGCGTTCCGTCCAGATATAACGTCGTCGGCTCGTGCTCGAAGCTGACAAACTTCAACGGCCGACCGCCGAAGTCGGCAGGCGGCGGCTTCAGCGGGGGCATAGGACGGCTGGGGGACACCCATCCGAGCACGCGGGTCCTGCCGTCATACCTGGAAAACAGAGACAGTCGGCCGCCGCCCAGCGCCGGTCGCTCCCGCAGTACGTGAAAGAAGGCGGCGTTCTGCAGTATACCACGCGGTCCTCCGGCGGCGGACGCTGCCCCCGGGTTGTCAGCGCCCGTTACCAGCAGATAGCGACCGGCCTGGTCCCAGAGGTCACCCACAGGCAGCACGGCAGGGCTGTCGGTCAGCAGTAGAGAGGTAGGAGACCCCAGCAGCAGGAGATACAGCCGACAGTGGCCGGCAGCCGAGGTCCGCGCTGTGCTCACCGCTGACGCGTTCCACAGAGATATCTGTGAGAGATTTAGTCTCAAAACAGAACCTCCGAACTATACACTTAAATAAATTAATGTGACGGCCTAGGTGATTTGTAATTAGCTATCGAGTCATCGAATGGGTGTTGATCTAGGTAAAAGTAAAAGTAGGTAGAAACGTTGTGCATCATTAAATATCAACCTTATCCTTTGGAGGTTCAGCATACCTACCTGTAGACTGGCCGCATCCGAGTGAATATGAATCTCGGCAGCAATGTTTCCCAGCTGGCTGCTGTAGTGGCTGTCGTAAACGATGTGAATATGACATTCACGGCTCTGCTTGATAACCGGCACCAACAGAGAAGCCAGAAGCGCTCCCTGATTTATATTTTCGGCCGTTGAAACGGTATCGTTGTGCTTTAGGTGCAAACTTAGCTCCGTAGCGGTGGCGCCGGTCAAAGTGGCTGATAAAGTTTCCAGACCCGTTGTATTTTCCGCGCTTAAATTCAGAACGGAGGTCGATATAAGCTCCCCGGCATCGTCCCCTGACAGCTCAGTGGAGCCAGGAGCAGCAGTCGAGGCCGACACGCTGGCGGCAAGAGTAGCCGCCCAAAGTGGTATCAAAACCACCGAACATCCAGAGGCTCTAGCCATTCGTTCATAACGCTCGGTCCAAATGAGCATCATCTGGCAGACGATTTATCATACGTAGTTTTCTCGACTGCCAGTTGTCCTTGCACGAACAAATATTGAAGACGCCCTGAAAATGAGACTGAGATTATATGTTGCTGTTATGTGTTTGATTATTAATTCGTTCGTTTCCTTGCTAGGCCTAGAAGAGCAAATCATTTAAAGGCCCTGGGCGCATAGAGATCTTATATACATGTGTATGTATATAAGATCTCTATGCCTGGGCGGTCAAACTAATGCAATGCTGATTGCATAAAATGAGAAAGGGACAACGGACATTACAGACTTTAGCTTGAACGGGCATTCAACAAACATCCTCAACCGGCTAATACCCACCATCGGACTCACCATCGGACTCGGGACATCGCGACTCACCCGATCGGCTATTACCTACTTAGGTCCGAGGCCGCGGCAAAGTTTGCAGCACGTCGCACGAAATGAATTTGGAAATTGAAACCACAGTCCACACGAAACACAAAACTCACAAGGTGCTTTCGGATTGAGCATCAGACTATTTTACGCACACATTTTTCACATTTGTCACATTTCACAAAAACGCACACACATTTCAAACCATGAAAAAGGCCTGCCCTCTATACCTACCCCAGGCACAAGAGAGGCTCGAGATTAGTAACGTCTCACGGACGCCGCGTCACCCCGGCCGCAAGGCCTGCCTTGCGGCACAGCATGCCAGGCGCTGTCGTTAGTGCCATCTACCGGCAACTAAAGAAAATATTGTGTAATGCGGAACAGCATCAATCAGGCGCATTCCCTAGTGCCATCTATTGGCCGATGCTGAAGCTTCGGACCGAGGCGACGTCTTTAAAGATATTGGATAGAATGCGGAACCAAGCTGCAATTGAATAAATTTAGTTTTGATTCACATACTGAGAAGAACGTAACAGAAACGAGTTTCATGTGTGCGTAAAATAGTCTGATGCTCAATCCGAAATGTGTGTTGTGTGCCTAAATTGAAATACTAGCCTCCTAAGCCAAACTCCTGAAGAGCTCCATTTTCAATTATACCGTCGAGGCCGATTCAATCCGTAACCACCATACTGTCTGCACCACCTACCCTCGCGGCGCCGTGCGTCGGACCGGTGACTTACCTCGACTGACCGACCGTAGGCACGTCCCCACGGAGCGAGCCGCACCCCAGTCCCACGCACCCCTCCCAACCTCCCTGGCGTCAGGCGCCGCACACACGACTCGGGCAGACGTGCGGGCAGTGGGCACGCGAGTTCAATATTACGCGAGTTCACACCGCAAGTGCCCTCGCCAGGCGGGGCTAGTGTTGTACAACGTCGCATGACCGTAACAGGCTTATCACGTTCTGGTTTTGGTAAGAGCTTGTGTGTACACACATAACTACTATGGCGTAGCCGGCTACCCATCGCCCACAGAAACAACTGTACAAAGTCTGTACATGGGGTAGCAGATCCATCGTTTATTAAACTGATGATCAACAGAACAGCGACTGGCATCTAAATATGAAAAGCGAAGAAAATCATTGCTAGAAAAATCGCCTTCCCTCAGTATTTGGGTTTCAGGGCGCCTATAGTAGATCGCAACGCTAATCGGACCTAAAATATCGAAGAGGAAAATAACAAATAACTCAACAAAAAAAGAGCTTCAGCAATATTTGCGATGATCGTTGTAAATAGATTCATAAATATTTGGTATAAAAGCTCATGCCATGTACAACATATTTCAGCTACATAAAAACCGGCTGTATGATAAGGCACGTATTGTCGCCTTAGACATTATTGCAACAATTTCACTTATGAACACATCCAAATAACAACCGTTATCTTATACAAAATTTGTTCATTAGCATTGTCTCACTCGTCACATTCACTCTACAAAGCCCTTAGTGATAAAAGTGATACAAAAATTCTAATTCAGCAACCGCTGCAGAATACCACTGGAATTAGAGCGATTTCCGCAGAATACCACCAACAGCCAAAAGCACCACTTCGACAGATGTTGTTACAGATCGAATGGTACCTGAAGCGTTCTTACGTTTTAGCTCCAGCACTCAACGGTGTTCCCTTTCACCAGAATTACACAGCAAAGTACCGCTACTGTAACATGGAAGGTACCCTGACAGCCTTCACCAGAGTACTGACACTGCTGAACGCATGACACTGCAGCAGTGGATACTGGAGAACCTCTGCAAAGGCGACTCTCTAAGCTAACCCAGGATAGTCGCGGCCCTTCAGACGGTCGAGGCTAGTCCCCGTAATTCAGTCAGGCCGGGCTGCTCCTCGCTTGATAATTCGGCATCTCATCCATCCTGGGATTGAAGCGGCAATTCAGACTAGTCTGGGCCCCTCATCCGAACTGGACTACTCTCGGCCCTTCAGCCAGCCCAGTACCAGTGGCGTGTAGTACGATATGATGACGTCGGCACCTGCCATAGAGCGACGGAGGCGTGAGAGGACAGCCAAAACAGAGTAGAGTCAAAGCAACACAACGTGGGGCTCAGACGAGACGCACGTTGGAAATAAACGCAGCATATCAACAACAAGCGATTTACGATCCAGTGGCTACATAGCCATAGGCCTATATAATCCTAGAACTTGAAATCACCAGCGAAGAAAAGATTATACCAAATAACTTATAAAATGACGTCGACTGCCGTAATATTTCCATTTACATCTTTGTTAGGTTAGTATCGAAGTAAAAAGAGCAACTGTCATAAAGAACATCATTAAAAATAATATAGCATAACAAACCACTAGATATTTTCTGTTGCTTTTGATATCGCTTGCAATCACTGCAATCATATTGCACTCAAGGCTGAGTGCAAGATTACAATTGAACTATTAATACAAAGAACCGATCCAACATCTATACTTTGAACTCACTAACTCAGCTTTCAGCCACGCACGACCTTGGGATTCCAATCAGTGTAGCGTGTGGATGTCCTTGTCTTTCGATGCTAAATAATGGAGGCAATAACACACAAAGCTGAGAAATTATGTTACGGACTCATTCAAACTGCACGGGTGATGGTGTGCAAAAGTGAATCAGTAGGAAATTAGTTGTAAGCGAAATAGTTAGCAGGACGTGAACCTGATGACGATAAATTTATGACTCCGAACAATTAGCATCTCCATTGAAGGAGTCAACGATGAGTTTGCTACAGAAACAGATGGCAAATACATTTCCTGATTGATAGAAACAGATGCAAATGCCTTGTCATACGACTTGCTCATATGAGATTCTGACAAAAAAATTAGTTAGGTGAACTATCACGAAACAAAGGTTACGCACTATTATTCTTGTATATACGATCACTTTTGTGAAATCACTTGCAATTTTTGTACGATATAAACTACAAATAGTTCAGGACAAACAGTACACACCATATACAAAATTGATTGTTTTCTTGGGTAATGACACGTGCTAGTGTAAAACCAAGATAGCTCGGCGGACTGACCTGCACGACGCATGGCCGTCAGAGCCTCCAGCACGACCGGCTTCAGACTGAAGGCGCCCTGGGCGGCGGCGTGATACAGCATTGCGTACTCTCCGGACACCTGACGACCGGAGATCGCGTCAGACGAGGCAAGTCAGCATGCCACCGCAAGTAAACAGCGTCCACGACGAGTTTATATCGGTCAGCAAACCGAAAGCAGCCACGACGTGCCACCAACAGTTGCAGCGACCCAACACCGGCCCTGGCCAGAGCTATATGTGGCATCAAGAACCCTGGGCTACGATCGGCTGGAGAAAATCCGAGAAGACGAACGACAGCAATAACCAGAAATCTGTCCAACGGCCATGACGGCCCAATGCTACGTCTCAGCTCACACACATACCTGGTATATGAAGAGCGGGTACTGCGGGAATTGGTCCTTGGTCTGGCGCACAATGTCCAGGTACGGCATGCCCGGCTTCACCATGAGCATGTCGGCACCCTCAGCCACATCGCGCGCGGCCGCCCGCGCTGCCAGGCCCCGGCCGCCCGGCGGCAGCTGGTAGCAGCGGCGGTCGCCGAACGCCGGAGCAGACTTGGCCGCGTCCCGGAACGGGCCGTAGAAGCTGCTGGCGAGCTTGACGGCGTACGAGAGGACGGCGCAGCGACCGTCGAGGCCGGCGCCGGCCAGCCGGGATTTGATGGCCGCCACACGACCATCCATCATGTCGGATGGAGCCACCACATCGGCACCTGTCGGAAAACGGGGCACAGCTGCTATGACGACAGCTGTAGGGCGAAAAACGTGCGGCAAAAGCAAAGGAAATATGGGCGCACTGCGCGGTGCGAGTAACTACCTAAAAACACACCGATGTAATCGTATCATACACATTACAGACTTTCTAAATAGCCATTCAACGCCAATAAAAAGCAAATGAATAATAAAAAAGCATTCGAAACATAAAACCAACATAACTCTGACCTTGTCCATCGAGCCGTTTTCCGTCCGTTTCCGTTCCTTCGGCACTACTCACCAGCCTGTGCGTACGCCAGCGCCACCTCTGCGAGCCGAGCGATGCTGGGCGGGTTATTAATGGTGCCGTCCTCATGCAGAATGCCACAGTGGCCGTGCGAGGTGTACGGACACAGACACACCTGTGTGAACGGAGGGCGCAGTCATCAGTGGCCGTATGACGTGTCGACTTCGTAACGGTTTCACGAATGCGTGCACTGTGCAACACACTGACTTACGTAGCATGTATGTGTGCATGAGAACTGAGAAGCCAAAGGATTCGTGAACAGTTATATGCGTGAGGCAAAGGCTGATAATAAAGGTTCGAGCCAACTTCGAAAATATAACTACCCCAGCTTCACTTTCAATCCACGTAAGGAGCAATATTTACCCAGACAACATGGGCAGTTTTACTCACATCACAAGCGATCAGAAGGGACGGGCAGCAGCTCTTGATCGTTCTGATGGCTTTTATAACGGCGTTATCCGGCACATCGGCTCCAGAACCTCGCTCGTCCTGTAACAATCGGTATCACGCTCACAGAATGGCGACACACAGTGCAGATAGTATCAGAACAGTGGTGATTTTCGCGGTTCCTGATAGGCCAACGCTCATGGATTACGTAGAGGTTTGACACTTATTCATTGGTCAATCGTTAACGCAGGCATTTACCGGCGAAAGGACGGGTGTGACAAAGTTGCCGGCTCACAGCTCGGAGTCTATGAGCGTGTATCAGCACTGTTTAGAACATACTAGCACTGGACTACCTACCAGTGGAACAACATGACTCAAAGATTTGATTGCCCACCACCCTGATATTTACCTTCTGTCCTTCAGGCACCCCAAACAGCAGGACTGAGGTCAGGCCATCCTGAACAAGAGGAGGGAGCACCTGCTCCAGCTGGTTGACGCCGTATCGTGACACTCCTGGCATGCTGGCCACAGGCTGCACGGCATCTGGGTCATCACTGAGGAAACAGAGTCCAGAGACCTCAGAGGCAAATCATGGGGAAATTACAGTCTGTAATACATCTCTACCACTGCTCACTCTCCTCAGTAAGTCAATAACAACATGTGCAAAATAATATAATGGATGTCAATGCAGAATAACATAATTTAAGCATCAGTATTCAATAATATGAGCTAAAAAGAATGAGCCAAGAAGGCTAGAAATTGATACAACCTAGAGATAGAGACAGACCTAATTGGGTGCTATTTCTTACTGATATGCCACATTAACAAAAAAATTTGTGCAGTCCCACCCCTTAGTCCCCTGACACCTAAGAACGGGGTAGATGTGAGCCCCAAAATGTTGCTGGGGCATACACTGGTTAGATGCCCTGCAACATTACACAGTATAGGTATTATAACCCTTATTCCAGATTTATGCTTTGAAATGTATTGAAATGCTCTTTTGCATCATATATGAAAGGTTCATCTACTTGACTTACACTATGAAGAGTGGATACATTAAATTATTTGCTTGGAGGGTTGCTCCAATTTCTTGCCAGCTTCTGGCGACCTGGTGGTTGTAACCACTATGAAGTCTATGACTTGCAGGAGTAGATTCCATTCTTGTAACTTGTCAGCTGTAATATTTTGTATCATAATACTTATCAAGGAATGGAAAGTGTAAACCCATTGCATGTAGAGAAGCACCAATCCCTTGGGTGAATGGAGTTCACTGGATGATAAATTATGGGATCTCAGACAAGAAATTCAAATGGTGGTGTCTTGGTCTGCATTTGGTACAGCACTGAGATAAAAATTGTGCATGTTTTACAGAATCCTAGTCAAGATGATCATTTGTGTCTATGAAAAAGCCAGTTAGCAGTCATCTGTATGACCTAGTGAAAAAGGCATGCATCTTGTAAATCAGTGGCAGCTAGTTTGCAGCCAGAGCTCCACACTGTTGACCCATGGAGCCATGCCCCCATATTGATGTTCAGCCAGCTCAAGCCTCAAGCTGGCAACTGGTTGGACAATGAGTTGCCAAGTTTTCACTTAACCCATCCCAGGCCCTCTACCAATGCGAGTAATGACCAAGTTAAGTGACCATGGTCATCAAAAGGTGCTACATTATAAATACAAAAGTGAAGAGTAACATGTTCATACTTGTGCACAAGACTTGTGTGCCTGTTTTAATCTTTTCGAACAATGTTACATGGCCATGAGCTTATCTTGACAGTCAAAATCTAGGGGTGTCGGGTGCATGCATTCAGCGTTTCATTTTTTGACATGCAATTGCAATGTGATGGAATTCTTTCTGGAAGGTATACCAATACACAGCGCTTTCTGCGATATCTAATTTTCGGACCTGCGATAACGATAAAATGATAACAGGTTTGCGATAACGATAAACGATAAATTCTACTTTTTTCAAAAAATTAACAGCGATAGCGATATAACGATAAAATGATAACGATAATTGTTTTTTTTTGACAGCGACGATCATCTTCCAATTGTTCCATCATCCCGTTTCACATTTAATCGTTTATCGTTCATAATTTTTGTAACTTGCGATAAGTGGATGTTGAGATAAACGATAACAATAACCTATTTACGAAACAGCGATAATTATCGTTTATCGTTTATCGATCATCCTATCGCATGCGGAAACCACTGCCAATACATATCGCAAAAGATCTAATAGCAAAGATTGTAAGCATTTGGAAAGTAGGTATGCATTATACAACTGCTATCACTATAGGCATGCTATAGGTACGCGTTGTTTACAATCACTTTATGTAACAGGAGCGTCAGTAATGTCCCAGAAAGCTATCTCGTGATTTGCAAAAACTATATGACATCAATAAAAACATGTTTGCTAGAAAACTTAAATTTCCGAAGAAAAATTAATCAAATTACGTAAAATGACATGTAATAACAAAGTCAATAATAAAATTTTCTTTAGTCCGTAAACTAGCTTCCTTCTTAACTTAAGATAGTAATAAACGTCATATTTTAAGTAAATTTTGTCTTTTTCTTTTAAACAGGCGCCTAGCAATAAGCCATTCGGGCACCATTCGGGTCAATGAAAGATCACGAGTGGTGCCCGGTTGGCATAGCAACAAAGGTAAACAAATGGAACAGTCGCTGTGAGGCTGTGAGCTTGGGACACCGAAGCCACCGAAGTTGGGTCGGTTCGCCGGGGCGCGGGCTCCTTCTGATCGTGTCTGACGGGAATCGAGGTGAGTTCGACCGGGTCAACATGCTCTCTAAAAAAACATTGACCGTTGTCAGGTCAAGTCCCGCCGGGACCTCTATATTTCCCGCTTTACTCGGGAAGTTAGCCCTTCTAATTCTGTAATTCTGCTCCTGACCCTAGGTCAATATAGCTAGGCCCTAGGTATGCAGCCAGCCAGTCATGCGTTATCACGTGGCTGAAAAGCGTAAAAAATCACGATAATTTTTGTGTCAAGTTTAAGGTCAGGTCACCTTAGGTCATCAGATGTCATTTTTCCTCTTCCGAAACTATTATTCAAATTGACAAATGGACAGCGCCGGGCCAGGGGTGGGGGGGGGGGGGTGTCTAAACATCCCCGCCTAACTCCGAACTCGGCTCATGGGCCATGCCGTAGCGACGTACGCCGTAAGCGGCATTCGAAACGTCAAACATATTGAGGAAACACTTAAGTTATTTTTTAGGTCAAGTCAAAGGTCATGTCGCCAGAGATCATCAAAGGTCAGATTTTGCATTTTTCAGCAATTTTCCAAAACCCGGCACACAAGTTACAACTCGGGAACCAATAGAGCTATATCAATATACAGCGCCGCGGAAAAGCGCATTCGATAGTTCGCCTCTTTCAACGCTCTTTCGCCAGCTTGTCCTCAGATTGGACAATGGATATATTTATATACACTGTGGGACATCTGAGGCCAGTTTTACCAGCAGAAAAGTAGCCGGCTGCTGGATTTTTTTTTTTTTTACTGAAGATCGCTTCACATACAGAACGTAAACGGTTTAGCCCTATCCGCTAAGTGCCCATCGTGCTTACGCTCCGTATGTGAAGCGATCTTTAGTCAGAAAATTCCGGTAGGCGCTTGGGTAGGCGGCTGTTTATCTGATGGTAAAACTGGCCTCTGGTCAACAATTTAGTTTCCAGAGGGCAAAAACTCTAGAAATGTCCATTTTTTATAAAAAGGTTTTTCTGCAATAACTTTTTACTCAAGAAAGTGTCGACATTTATTTTGCCAGCATCGCGTTTCTCTCGCCGAGACGCGTCGAATGAAGTATAATTTGACCCTGAGAGGTCTTTTGGAAAGTTTGACCTCAGGGCAAGGACGACCTGACCGGAAAAGGTCATGTTGCATACCAGTTCAGTTTATCCGTATGATCGAGCGGAGCACATCCGAGATAATTTCATTGCTCTAGCATGTCTCTATCAAAAGTTATTGTCAAAAAACTGCTGGGACCTTTCATGACCTGATATGACCTCAGGGAGTAGGGACATAAGAAGAGGTCGCTGATGCCATTTTTCGGTTCAGTTTGTCAAGTTTACCTGTAATCCGATGTTTGAGAGTGTTTGGAATGACGTTCGTCCAAAACAGGCGCCTTTCAAATTTCTCCCGTTGACTTATAGGTAGGTACCTACCTAATGGAGAGGTCGCAATATTGACCTTACCTTAGGTCACCGTTATCAAAATTTCGAGATACAGAAGAATTTGCTTAATAAATCCTCGGATATCCCGATAATCCCGCTTATAGCGCTTATAATAGCGCTTATAGCCGCCACAATTAGCTGCTCACGGATTTTCTCCACTCATAGAAGCATAACGGACTCCGGTTAATAAAGCTGCCTCTTTTATAAATCCAAAACACCGTGTCACCAAGCCCGCCAAGGTGGATTTATTAAGCGGATTCTACCGTATACGTTTTGTACCTATATACTGTTTGTTACTCTAATCAATCGTTGAAATTTTCAAGGTGATCGTTCAGTCGGTGTAGCTATGACGAGGATTCTAAGTTGTTTCCCTCACGTAACCTGATGACCTGACCAATAGAATAGCGGGCATTACATTTTCGGTATCCACATACTGCTAAATGACTTTTATGCCTTGCAGCACATGTGCAATTCACTGAGAGATGGACGACACCTTTTCGAGTGAGTACGAGGAATACACGTCCGAAACTGGCGGGACGTCGACAGAGGAAACCACCAGTGGCTCCGAGAGTGACGAGTATGAGACGGCCGACGGCACGTCCCTCACCAGCCGAGAGAGATCGGCTGAGTGCAGGAAGACGTGCGAAACGCTTCAGCTGGATGAATATGATGAAATGATTACGTACACTCCTAGCAATCGCACAAGCACGCCTAAGACACCTGCCTCCCACGTCGTAAGTGAAAGCAATAAGTGCAATAGTGTCACTAGTTCTACCGAAAAGAAGCCAAACGGCTTCAGTTCGATATCTTCTGAAGCAATATCACCCGACATGGAAGTACAACCTGTGTCTTTGTCAATGTGCGAGCCACCGAAGAACTTCGCAGCCTTCAGTATTCAAACGAAGGCAGATAAGGTGGACCCTAGGCCTGAACTGTTGGTGTCTGGACTCCCGGTCTTCGAAGCAGGCAAATACAATGCCTACCTATCGGGGAACCGTTTTAACGGTCCCGTTAATGGCAGCGACTCTAATCTTGCTCCGAGTGCTGGGAGCCCGTTAGTTCAGGGTGGGAAAGTTCATTTTCGTCATCCAGTGAAGGAGCGCTCCTCCGAGCATCTCGTCCACTCACAGAACTTGCTGAAGGAGGGCAAGGCCCGTGAGAAGCTGGCCGTCACTGGAGATGCCATCGCAGCGCCGCGCACCCGTAAGCTGGGCGTAGCTGGCAGGCGGCGTGCCTCGGCGCGAACCACCGCTACCGTACGGCTGGAGCTGGAGCTGCACTCGACCTGGGGTGGCGAGGAGCGTGTCGGCCTTTCCGAGCTGCAGTTTGTAGACGGACACGGCCGCAAGGTGCAGGTGGCCGCACACCGGGACCTGCTGTCGGTCACCGGTGTCCACGATCTGGCCAGCACCCGCACCGTGTCCAAGCTGTTCACCGGTGCCGGTGAGCATGGTGCTGCGTTCACCGGCTGGACATGCCCCTTCAACGCATCACCGGTGTCTCTGAAACTCCTGCTCTACCCCAGCGACGGTAAGCTCAGCGCGGTGAAGATTCGCAACTACGGCAGTACGAGCCGTGAGCATGGCACTGGAGTGCGACTTTTCCAAGTGCGACTGGACGGAAGAGTCGTTTATAAAGGTGAGCTTCCTAAGGGAAACACTCAGCTGACAGTCATCAAGTTGCCTCCTTTTGGACCTGAGACGGAACGCAGAGCACAGTCGGCCAGGGAGAAATCCACCATGTGGTTACCTGGTGGTGATAACAGTCTGCTCGAGCTGTCCAGCGAAGAAGAAAAGAAGGAGGACGAGAATGATAGTGCGTCAACGCACCATTTCTCCAAGGCTGACGCGTCCTTGCCAAAGACCAACGCCGCCCCGATGCCGTGCTGGTTCGGCTCCTGGTCGAAGCCGTCAGCACCAGAGCGAGGCGGTGTGCGACATAGTGAACCTATGGCTGTCCAGGACCTGGAGACTTTGGGTACCGGCTTTACCGGCGACCGGGCGCCTCGCCGCGGCTCGGCCCGGTTCGGTCGGCGCGCGTGCACCCCAGGCTCAGCGGAGCTGCTGTCCCAGACGACCGCTCCCAGCCCGTCGGGCACCGACACATCCGGTGGCTCGACGCCACGCCTTCTAGAGAGCTCTCTGGAGGAAAGTTGGAGTCAGCTGGAGGCGTTTAACCATCAGCAACGTGGACGACTGGTCAACAGTGTCATGGATGACATTCCACCGTGGACTGACGGAGACACCTCGCGAGAGGCCACGCCGACGCCAACCATGTTCAGTCCTACTCCGGACACTGACCTGAACATGGACCAGCTGGTGCTCTGTGATTGCGACATCCCGGAACTTCCGGATTGTCGACTGCTGACGCTCAACATCAAGTCAACCTGGGGTGACATCCACTATGTGGGGCTCAATGGCATCGAGGTGTTCGGTGCCGACGGCCTGCCGATCAAGGTGGCTTCCATCACGGCGGAACCGGCCGACATCAACGTCCTACCCGAGTACCGGCGCGACCCGCGCGTGGTCACTAACTTGATCGATGGCGTGAACCGCACTCAGGACGACATGCACCTTTGGCTGGCGCCGTTCACTCCTGGCGGCGACCACTTGGTGCGGCTTGATCTAGGTCGCCGACACCGGCTCGCTATGCTGCGCATCTGGAACTACAATAAGTCACGCTGTCACTCGTTCCGCGGCGCGCGCCATGTCGAGGTGCACCTGGACCGGCGGCCGCCGTTCTGCGTTGAGGTGGCGCGCGCCTGCGGTGACATCCAGGGTGGCACTGAGGCCTTCGGTGACACGATCCTCTTCACCACCGACGACGCCGTGCTGGAGCGTGTTTCGCTTCACGACGCCTCGTTCGCAGCCGACCCGACAGAGGCCGACGACGAAGCGGCACGTTACCTAAGTGACAGGCCGCGCACGGCAGATGCTGACGACTCACTAGAGCGTCCCTTCACCTCACAGCTGCGGGAGCGTCCACCGACGGCGGCCGGCAGCGCGCTGCGCGCCCGTGAGGTTCGGTTGGTACTGACCTCATCCTGGGGCGCCAACTGCCTGGGACTGACCGGTCTGCAGATCCTCAGCGAAAGTGGCGAGCCGGTACAGCTGAACGCCGATCAGCTGAGCTCTTCGGCGGCTGGCGGTGAGCTGGCCTGTCTGGTGGATGGCGAGTTCCTGACGTGTAACCGACGCCACATGTGGCTGGTGCCGTGGTCGACCGGCCAGCCAGTGAGCATCACTATTCGGCTAGTGGCTGCCACCTGGCTATCCGGTGTGCGGGTCTGGAACTACAACAGCTGCCCGGAAGAGGCCGACCGCGGTGTGCGCACTTGTCTGCTCGAGCTGGACGGTCGCCGGGTGGGCCCGTCAGAGGGCTTCCTGTTACGGCCAGGTCCCGGCCACCTACACTTCAACTGCGGCCAGCTGCTGGACTGGTCGGGCTCCAGCTCACCGCCGCCAGCCTCGCCTCCGCAGCAGTCGCCACCGCCGGCGGCGGCCCCGCGGCTCACACTAGCCGATGCCGTCAGCTACGACGAATACGAGGCCCCAGAGATGCCACGTGGCTTCGTGTTCCAGCTGCAGCTCATCTCTAGCTGGGGCGATCCCTACTACATCGGTCTGACTGGTCTGCAGCTGTTCGACGGGTCCGGCCGGCCGCTGCCGCTGACGGCGCAACACGTGGCTGCTCACCCGGACAGCGTCAACGTACTAGACGGCATCAGCCACGACGTGCGCACGCCCGACAAGCTGGTGGACGGCGTGACGGACAGCCGCGACGGCCGCCACTCGTGGCTGGCGCCGCTGCTGCCAGACTGCCTGAACCGCGTCTACATCGTGTTCGACCGGCCGCAGACCGTCTCCATGGTGAAGCTGTGGAACTACGCCAAGACGCCGAGTCGTGGAGTGCGCGAGTTCGGCCTCCTCGTCGACGGCCTGGTGGTGTACAACAGCGTTCTGGGCCGCGTGCCAGACGCCAGAGGCCGACACGAGCCGGTGCCCTATCACACGGTGCTGTTCACCTCCAATAAGGAGATCGCCCGACGCGAACGGCACTCGGTGTGTAGCGCTTCGCTCGATCAGCACCGAGTTCGGCTGCTCAACAACATGCGGCCGCCGGCGTCGCTGACCGGCCGTGGCGATCGCGCGGTGGCAGAGGTAGACCAGAGCCGGCGGCCGCTTACCTCCCAGACCAGCCTGGCGACGGGCTTCTAAGACGAACTCTGCCGATGGCTGGTCGCCGACCGACAGACATACGTGCTCGAACTTGCGTCGGCGCGATGCCGGTGCTGACTATGATCTCTCCTGTGATCAGGTGTCTTATTATTAGTCCGAAATGGACAGACCGAGACCTGATGTGCCGGCCTACGTGCAGGCACCGGTGTCCAATCGTGTATTCCGCAGCGCCTGTTGTACTTCAGAAACATGCACGTTTCCACAGCGATATTGATGTTCACGGTGATCCGTTGGTGTATGATGCCAGGTGTTTGAATTCTTATTCTTATGATAATGATGCGACACTTCGATGGATCTCGGTCTCGCAGCACCTGCTAAGCCGCGTTAGTGATACTGTCCGTACTGGTTACGATTTCCACTGCAGTCTGTCTGTGCCATTAGTCGTGTACCTGTTTATGTGTCCTCATTTTCTTGTGGCTGTACGTGCGTGCCAACTATACTGGAAACTGTAAGTCCACTTTTGGCCTACCGCACACACACCTTACGAATCCGCTAGGTATACGGCAAATCAGAGCTGTTGTGTTTATTCCTGACATTGTTGACTATTAAATAAATGTTTGCCGTGGTGGATACGGACTTGAATGCTGTTTGTTTGTTTTCTTTTGCTGTGACGTCTAGTCAGCATCTGTTCATCGTGAGTATTCAGTGAGCCATCGGGTCTCTGCAACATCGCACGCCCTTGCTGGCCACTCCTCTAAGACCGTGTGGGTGGCGCTACATTTGAAACCGGACAGGTAAAGGTGAAGGTGTCGACAGTCGTGTGTCGTCAACGTATTCCCAGAAAAGAGTGAACTTCGCATCGTTTCCTAAAAAAGGTTGCAGGACACTGAACAATGAGCATATCTACCTCCCCGCGGCGTTATTTCACGTTTTTGGTGATGTTTGTGCCGTACTTACGGGAGCTCTAGCTATTTCTTTATTTCCATCACACTCACAACTTTCAAATAGCAATGCCTATATATCACATCTATGGATTTGCCTAGCACATACGACATTGTAGCTAACGTCTATGCGCAAATGTCATGGTAACAGTATCACGTCTTGGCACACGTATCACACTGCATAGCGGGTCACCGGTGTTCTCGTGAAAAGCTCACTTCAAGAAAACTTGATTGTTATATTGTCGCGAGGATCAGCACAGCAAATATGGTTATGACACACGGACCACGGTCCATCTCTTGTTTTGATGACTGAGGGGAAATGCTTTACTCTGAAGTCGGGAGAAAAGGCTTTGCCGCACGACATCCTTTTTTCGGGTCAGTTGTCTCTGGCACGTCTTGTAGGCACTTGACGTGAGGATCCATTGGTAGTCGTTAGTGGTCAGACCCTTTCGTCTTCTCCACTGTTGCCGCTGCTCAGCGCGATGGAGAGGTGAGTGAGAACAGCGACCAGCTGGGTCGCCGCAGGCTTTGCCGCCTCTCGCCGCTCAGGTCTGTAACGGTCACCAGTGGAGGCGACACCTTCACTCCCTGCTCCTGGCCGGATGCCATCTGATTCTCACCCTGTCCGTTCGAAGCCCCGTCAGTGGCCGCAGTATCCGCCGCGTGCGGCTGCCGCTCGGAGCTGTCTGGCTGCCCCGCTGCCCTGGTCCTCCGTCTCCTCTCCGTTGCAATTTGCTGGGAGTCTCCGTCATCCTCAGCACTGCCTGTACTGGCCGGGCCCTGAGCCTCTCTTCTTCGTCGTCTCGGGGTCTCGGTGGGCTGTCGGTCGTCGTCTTCATTTGTAGGGCGTCGCCGTCGTACGGAACTGTCCAATGTGTCGGTCGTCCGTTCGCTGCCGAAGTCTGCGTTCCCATTGACTTTCGTCTCCAGCTCGTTGCGGTCTAGCTCTTGCAGAGTGGCCAGGGAAGGCACGGAGCGGCTCTCACGCAGTGGCCGGCCGGCAAACGCAGTGGCCACACCGAGCCGCTGGCCGACTGCGCTCCGCCTGTCCCTGCCGTCCGGTGTCACCGATCCCGACAGTCGAGGACTTGCTCCGGAAGAACCGGCGCGGGATCCAGACCCCGCTGGTGCCGTCGTTTTCCGCCTTGACACCGACTTATCTTCTCGGCTTTTGCCGAGTGAGTCGAGATGTGCGCTGCAGGATGCCGAACGACGGATGCCGCCGGCTGCCCCGCCGTCCAGATTCTTCAGTCGTGACGCGACGCTGGTGCTCCCTAAGCTGAACGCTAGCGACGGTTTGCGTGTGGTGTAGGTACTACGCAATGCCGGGCCTTGGCGCACCTTCGGGTCCACCGGCGCTGTCTTAGGATTCTGCTTGGCGTTGCAGATGCGGTTCATGACCAGCGAGCGTCGCATCTCGTTATATCGCTTCGCCTGTTCGGCCTTGCTGTCGGGTGGTTTGACGCTAGGCAGCGGCGGCTCGTCGGCAGCTGGTTCTGGCGGGGGTGGCGGCACCGGCCACAGCTCCGGGTTCCGCCGCATGATGACGATCTTGTCGCCGCCGGCGATGTCGCGCTGGCTCTCGAGCACGAAACGCGGGTCGCTGAGCAGGTGTCTTGGCTCGGGGAAGGTGACGTGGTCGTTGGTATCCGGCCCAATGACGATGACGATGTCTCCGCGAAACTCTGCCAGGTACTGGTTCCAGCACTCCCAGCTGTGGAAGTAGCACGTCATCAGCACGGAGCCGGCCGGTACGTGGCGGGTCTTCACCTCGTCGATGTAGATATGCTCGATGAAGGGCTTCACGCCGTAGCGCCCCTGCCACCAGGCCCGGTCTACCTCGTAGCCGATCACCTCGATACCTGCCGACAGCGACGGAGCAGAGTTTTACGGTGAGGCCGGGCGAATCTAGTATAGCGATAGCGACCTTCTGGGAAGGTGTGGTCGGCCGTATATATCCATGTAATGATGTACATCACTTGCAAGTTGCAACATATTCATTATCAATAACGGAATTCGGAAACAATGTAACGACGCCGACGAAATATGGCTAGGAAGCGTAGTGAATATTTTCTCATTACGGTGTCATTAACCGTTAGAACACAACGACGCTGGACCACTGAGCGAGCTCGCATGGCCTGAGGCCTTCCCCCCTCCCCCCCCCCCCCCACTGACCGCTGCAGGCGCGTTTGATGAGCCACTCGAGGAAGCCGCAGCCGCAGCCGACGCTGACAATCTTGGTCACGTACAGGCGGCGCAGTTCGGCGTGCAGGAACGACAGGAAGTCGCGCGTGGGCCGCACCCAGCAGAGCAGCGTGTCGAAAAACGCCTCGTTTGTGTACATATTCATGATGGACTCCCACTCGTCTGGAACGACAAGGCGCTCGATAAGCGTCACAATAGCGGCCGGTGGGTGTTAGGTGAAAGGGAGGGAATGGGGAGATACAAAGCGTCGATCGGCGGCCTGACACTTCCTACAGTACCTACACTGCATGGCCCTCGAATAGAGTATTGGAGGATGACGTGTTAGGTGTAGGTAAGTCGATTTTTGGCACATAACCCTGTGGACCAACATTGTGAGGCAATAACAGACGGTCGATGACCCAGTTAACGTTTCCCAGCACCCAAGTGGACGCGTCCCATATGTGTACGACATGTACTTCCTGCACCAATGGCCCGCGTGCCCTGGTGTGTCTTTCTTCCACAGAATAACGGAATGTTTTCCATTTTGCAAAAGGGCAACATTGTCAGGAAGTTCTTGGAAGCGTTTATTTTCCCGGCTCGTTTTAAAACTGACGATGATTTTTCATTATTTTAGTCCGGTAATATATTTTAACTTTGGTTACATGATGCCTGAAAATGATGCCACTTTTTTAAATCATTCGCCATTTAAATGCTGAAATCAGTCATTATCAAATGAGGCCGATAAGTCCTTCAGCCGAAAATAAATATGCTGAACTGTTCGAACTCGTTCCGAGTGGAGGAGGCGGAGTCTTGCCGGTATCGACGCGATGACAGGAGCGCCGGGCCGGTACTGTCCTCCCGGGAACAGTACCATACCGGTCCACCGACGGGCCGGGCCGGCCGGCCACGCGTGACTGGCGGGCAGCCCGCCAGGCCTCGTCACCTCCCGCTAACGATCGGCGCCGCCACTGACGCCCGCGGTCGGCCGTCGGGCCGCGTCGCAGCCGTCAAATCGACCGCCCCCCCTCCTCCCCCTCCCCGGCGCACTGGATACTCAGAACTCACGGACTTTCGCTCGATAAAACCGCAGAGGACGGGACGGCGTAACACACTAGTGACTCAGACAGCCCACGTAGCTACTGGTAGGTGTTCCAACAGCAATATCCTTAGAAAAGGGACGTGATGACATTGGCAGAATCCACCGTAATGTCATGCCAGCTTTTCCCACCGCAGAGGTAACGTTGTGCCGGGAGTATTATACTCCTGGTGCCGGGAGTGTAGGTAAATACGCAACCCGGTATTTCGCCCTTCATAAGGCAAGCGTTTCCGGAAAAGTAAAAACCACTGCTCGTCACGATTAAGTATTAACTATTAACCCGCGCCCCACTGGGGGGGGGGCTATTTATAGCCCCCCTCCCGTTTTTCTCCAATAACTTCCAAACCACTTGACGTATCGACGCCAAACTTTCAGCACCTTCGGCTGCATCAATTTGACACCTTGTGTCAAAATTTGAACTTCGTACCTACCATAGGTCGGCCGGAAATGACGTCAGAGTGACGTCATGTTCGGCCGATTTTGACGCAAAACATTGAACCACGGCAATCGCTCCCAAGAGCTCAGTTTTTAAGCTAGATCCAATTTCTTTGTATGAGAGGACTCAGAATAGACTGCGCTATCAAACTGCTATCGCAGATTTTCGAAATTTTGAAAATTTCGAAAATTTTATATAATAAAATTCAAAATTTATATTTTTACATTTTTTCAAAAAAAATTTGACTTTCGAAAAACCGGAATATATGTGATAGAACGCATTATCATGACTAACTCTAGCAAGTTTTAGCTAAATATCGTGAAAAATGGCCAAGTTATACGCATTATTGCAAAAAATTAACGATTATCAATTTTTCAAATCAATTTTTCAGCACGAATCTGACATTGTACGCCAATATAAATAGCACCAACGTGTTCCTGAGCTCAAACTGCATCCAATACACACCTTTGTTGTTGAAAAATTTTAACTTCAAAATTTGACCTTTTTTGACCTGAAAGTGACCTGACCTAAGCTAAATTTGACTCCAAATGACCTCGAATGACACGGAGGACATCAAATTCGAAATTTTTGGCCTAAATGGACCATAAAACATGAATCACGTGACCGACGGATGATATAATATTTTCGTGACCTGTGATGACTTGACCTTGATCTGAAAATCAAAGTACAAGTTTGGTACCCTCAGGGTATCTAGAGCATCTGTTCACGAGTGTGTGAACCAAAAATGAGCCTGATCTGACTTGTAAGACGGCAGCCAGAGCCCAAAACGTGAAGAAGCCAAAATGCTAATAATTTTTACTTTGACCTGACCTGTGACGTCATCGGTGACCTCGAGGTCAATGAAATTAGGTTTCGCTGGACAGTTTTTCCGGGGCTATCAGACGCCGTTTGAATTTTGACGATCGGCCCAGTAGTTTCGGAGTTAGGAGGGGGGCTATGAATAGCCCCCCCCAGTAGGGCGTGTTATACGCAGACCCCAGTGGGGCGCGGGCCGCGGGTTAACGCATTCGATATTGCAAAATGTTCGTACAAAGTTAATTTCGGTGTCTCCTCCCTAACATGTAACGAATAACTCGCACCCCGCTGGGAATCCTGGATTTCCACGCCCTGCTGAGGAGGGGGATGTTTGAACACCCCCTTCTAACTCGGCTACTGGGCCACGAAGCGACACACGGTAAGCGGCATGCGAAAGAACGTCCGAAATGAAGACAAAAACACTTTGTAAACACTGGCCATTTTTTTGTAGCTCAGGTGAAAGGCCAGGTCAGGTCACCGGCGGTAATCGAAGGTAAAGTGTTACACATTCCAACATTTTTCAAAACACCGCCACATACCTCGGGAACCAATGAAGCTACAGAGCCGCGGTAAGGCGCATTCGATAGGTCTTTTAATGCTCTTTCTGAGCCAGGATCAGTAGGTATTTGATCTATGACCAACGATTTAGCCTCTAGAGGGCAAAAACTAAAAATAGCAGTTTTTACAAAAATGTTCTTAATGTAATAACTTTTGACTCCAGAAAGGCACCATATTTATTTTGCCAATATGATATTCCTCTCGTCAAGATGCATCGAATGACCTATAATTTGACTTTGAAAATTCAACTTGAAAGTTTGACCTCAGGTTAAGGTCATGGCCTGATTGGGAAAAGTCATGTTTTATATCAGTCGATCCGTATCTTCGACCCGAACACATCTAAGGCGTTGTCATCGCCTCTAGCATGCATCTATCAACAGTTGTTGGCGAAAAGGTGTTAGATACCATTCTTTTTTAGACATTCGCGAAAAAACCGCACGGTGCTCACCCCCCCCCCCCCCGCCCAAGCTGGGCGCGGGATAATCCATATCTTATAAAAATGCTAAGCTGACTGTTTGCCAAACTGATAACAACTTCGATATTATTTCGTTGATAGTGGATTTTTTGGACTAAATTCTTTGGACGGCCTTGAAATTTTATTGTTCGCTGTGAGCAGTGACCTCCGTTTCGAATTATTTCCGAAACCTCCCGTCACGACTAGCCCACCTCAGTGTCTTAGTCGTAGAGGGCCCATATCTCCTGAGTCGACCAGCGCGGTGACATTTGATCCACTCCGGCGCTCGCCGCTCGCTATTTGATACCGACATGAACGGCCTGCGGCCAGTGGCGGTGATCGTGTTACAGGCCAGAGGAATTGTGAGTGGGGAGCGGGGCAGGCCGTGCCAGCATCTGTCGGCACCGTGCCAGCATTCATTTATTGAGTATGTTCCTCAGTGCTCCCAGGACATTTTTAACTTTAAACGACAAACACCAAACACTCGCCATATGTCACCGAGATGTAGATGTCACCGAGCGGGCAACGATTATGGTAGCACAGCTTCATTTGCATGTCTTGACCCTAGATGACACTATAAGCGGCAGGGCGGCTGAAGTGGCAGGGCGCCTGAAGATATGCTGGACCGCCTAACACGCAACTTCCGGAGCAGTGCAGTGCCACCCGCAATAGATGCGATGTGCAAGTTCGGACGGTGGTTGCAACTCGGGCACCGGATGGCAGGCAGGGGCTTCAACCATAGTAATTGCGGCACAGTTCCGGTAGCTGCATATAATGCAGGGCAGCATATAATAATCGGGCGCTCTGACACTAGTGTCATCATAGGGACTAGGCAGGCATTTAAGGTATAGTGTCACTACTCACTGTATTTTCATAGTGCACTTATGGGTAACGTTATCTACGAAAAAGACTGCATTGCGACACTAACAGGCTCATGGATTCACCGAATGGGCATGGAGTATGGAAGAGGTAAAAGATAAATATGATACTTTTATCTTACTTGTATTGCTTAGACAGTCGCCCATGTTTAAAACCTCCAACTTGTGTGCCTCGGAAATTGTGCCGGTAAGACAAGCTTACCTCTGTGCCAGAATCCCAGAGCCTTGTCACGGAGGTGCACAACTCTGGCCTTGGCTTCGGCCTGGGCCTTGTACGGGTTGGGTCCGTCCTCCCTTTCATCATCTTCCTCCTCTTCGTCCTGTCCGTCGTCTCGGTCATCCTCCGTTTCGGTGCCCCGTTCCTCAGCACTCTCCAGTTGAGGCGGCATCACTGGGGTCACCCGGCTCCGTCCGACACCCGAGCTCCGTCCCACCACCTGCCACTGCTCTCAGGCCGCTCAGGGTGGACCCTGAGACAGCGCACCACCGAAGCTCGGGGTGAGCCGGTTCGTAACGAGGCGCTCCGCTGAGTTCGAGGACCCACAGAGGGGAACGGCCGAGGGCGTGGGCGGCACAGCCGGGGGCGCTGACCGCCGATCACCGGATGAAGACGGAGTGGGTCGGCAGACTCCCACCCGGCACTCACACAGGGTCCAACCGAGCCGCGCCGCCACCGCCGCCCGCGGGCCGGCCCAGTTTAGACAGGGCCGCCGTTGGCACGCGCCCGTTGATTGTGACGTCACGTCGACGTCGACGGGCCCGCGCCGGCCGGCTGGATTCCTTCGGCGCCCGGCGGCCGAGCGGAGATGATGGGTCAGCGGAAAGTGACGCAGACGCGTCGTCAGCCGGCAGATGAATGGTCTGCGTGCCGCGAACGCTGACCAAGGTCGACGACCAGCTGTCACTCTGACGCTACCCGGGTTGGTAAAAAGGCAACTGTCACTCCAAACATCAATATTGAATAATAGTTCATTTTTGACTACGCACAGTAACTAATTGGTACATAAAGTTCAGGTCAGCATTGACAGTGTCAATGTCAAACCACCAAACAGCCTTCCGTTAACATGCCTTGTAGGTATCTTTCACTCTTAGGTATATGTACTGCACCAAACTGCAAAACTTTCGTGGATGAGAGCAAGGCTCCAAAGTCTAGCAGCTTACCGAGCAGCATTGATAGACTCGCAAACATAAATACAAAGTTACACCTTTTCGCTCTAGCTTAGGCACAGAACCTGCCAATGTGAATGGGTAGGTATTCAAAGGCACAGTCCACGGTCTTTCGTAAGCCCTTAAATATAGGACCACGCATGATGCAACATTCTTGCGCCCGTGCAATTGGTAGGTATAGCATGTTTTCTGTTAATGTTGATAATCACTATCTTTTTGTTTCGTCCCTTGTTATAAGATGGCAATAGCAATTAGCAATAGGCCTGCAGCTAAGCTGCGCCGTAATTATTAAAAACTTCGCCTCTTGTTTAAATATCCATTTGACTAGGATTTGGCGTTATTTGAAACGCTCAGTTTTTGCAGCGAGCTTTTCCTGTTAGGGCCTGCGAGATACCCGCGGAAACACATATCTCTTCAGCATTGCGCGCCACACAGGAATGCGGCTGATTCACGTGCTTTTGTGAGCGAGGTGCTTCCCTCCGGGAGAAATTCGCCGTCCCCATATGCTTAACACAGAGCCGAGCGGCGGCTGACAGGTGGCCGGCTCTCGGGAGATCGGCAGCCGACACTCGAAAAATCGACAACCCGCCGCTGAATGCGCGTGCGGCAGTGCTGAGCCGAGTCGTTCCCACGGTCTGAGGTACCCCCAGTTTGAAGATTCGGCCTTAGAATATGTAGTTTTAAATACGTAGTTTGACGTACATCTCGGAAAAGTGAGATACGGCCAGAAATGAGTGTGGGTCCCTCCGTTCTGAAGATTCTGATCGACGCCGATTGAAATAATTCGCCGTGCATATCTCGGCTTATTGACGACCGATTGACACGGGATAAACACCGATCGATACCAAATGGCTCTGTGTGTGTGTGGGGGGGGGGGAGGGGGTAGAGTGGCAAGTTTTCCTACCCGACGAACCCGGAATTATCCCGAGGGGGTAGGTGTGGGAGTAGAGTCGGGGGAACGGGGGGGGCGAGTGCAAGTACCAAGTACTTTCGCAAGTACCAAGTACCAAGTACTTATGGAAATACCAAGCAAATACCAAGTACTTTGGCAAATACCGAGTACTTATGCAAATACCAAGCAAGTACCAAGTACTTTGGCAAGTACCGAGTACTTTGGCAAGTACCAAGCAAGTACCAAGTACTTTTGCAAGTTCAGCAAGTTTTTCGCCAATATCGAAGCTTCTAGACGTCCGATCGTCACCGGAAAAACACCATTCGATCCCAAATTTTCTCCCGAATCTTTTTATGGCCAAAGCGACGCGGAGCGAGCCAAGATATCTTGTTTAAATATCCATTTGAGTAGGATTTCGGGTTTTTTGAAGCGCTGAGTTTTTGCAGCGAGCTTTTCCTGTTAGGGCTTGCGAGATACCCGCGGAAACACATATCTCTTCAGCATTGCGCGCCACACAGGAATGCGGCTGAATCACGTGCGATTGTGAGTGAGGTACCCCCAGTTGGAAGATTCGGCTGTAGAATTGTAGTTTTAAATACGTAGTTTGACGTACATCTCGGAAAAGTGAGATACGGCCAGAAATGAGTGTGGGTACCTCCGTCCTGAAGATTATGATCGGCGCCGATTGAAATAAGTCGCCGTGCATATCTCGGCTTATTGACGACCGATTGACACGGGACAAACACCGATCGATACCAAATGGCTCTGGGGGGGGGGGGGGGGGATAGAGTGGCAAGTTTTTCTACCCGACGAACCCGGAATTATCCCGAGGGTGTAGGGGTGGGAGTAGAGTCGGGGGAACAAGGGGGGGGGGGCGAGTACAAGTACCAAGCAAGTACCAAGTACTTTCGCAAGTACCAAGTACTTTTACAAGTACCAAGCAAGTACCAAGTACTTATGCAAATACCAAGCAAGTACCAAGTACTTTGGCAAATACCGAGTACTTATGCAAATACCAAGCAAGTACCAAGTTCATTTGAGTAGGATTTCGGGTTTTTTGAAACGCTCAGTTTTTGCAGCGAGCTTTTTCTCTTAGGGCTTGCGAGATATCTGCGTGCACACATATCTCTTCAACATTGCGCGCCTCACAGGAATGCGGCTGAATCACGTGCGATTGTGAGTGAGGTACCCCCAGTTGGAAGATTCGGCTGTAGAATTGTAGTTTTAAATACGTAGTTTGACGTACATCTCGGAAAAGTGAGATACGGCCAGAAATGAGTGTGGGTACCTCCGTCCTGAAGATTATGATCGGCGCCGATTGAGTCGCCGTGCATATCTCGGCTTATTGACGACCGATTGACACGGGACAAACACCGATCGATACCAAATGGCTCTGGGGGGGGGGGGATAGAGTGGCAAGTTTTTCTACCCGACGAACCCGGAATTATCCCGAGGGTGTAGGGGTGGGAGTAGAGTCGGGGGAACAAGGGGGGGGGCGAGTACAAGTACCAAGCAAGTACCAAGTACTTTCGCAAGTACCAAGTACTTTTACAAGTACCAAGCAAGTACCAAGTACTTATGCAAATACCAAGCAAGTACCAAGTACTTTGGCAAATACCGAGTACTTATGCAAATACCAAGCAAGTACCAAGTACTTTGGCAAGTACCGAGTACTTTGGCAAGTACCAAGTACTTTTGCAAGTTCAGCAAGTTTTTCGCCAATATCGAAGCTTCTAGACGTCCGATCGTCACCGGAAAAACACCATTCGATCCCAAATTTTCTCCCGAATCTTTTTATGGTCAAAGCGACGCGGAGCGAGCCAAGATATCTTGTTTAAATATCCATTTGAGTAGGATTTCGGGTTTTTTGAAGCGCTGAGTTTTTGCAGCGAGCTTTTCCTGTTAGGGCTTGCGAGATACCCGCGGAAACACATATCTCTTCAGCATTGCGCGCCACACAGGAATGCGGCTGAATCACGTGCGATTGTGAGTGAGGTACCCCCAGTTGGAAGATTCGGCTGTAGAATTGTAGTTTTAAATACGTAGTTTGACGTACATCTCGGAAAAGTGAGATACGGCCAGAAATGAGTGTGGGTACCTCCGTCCTGAAGATTATGATCGGCGCCGATTGAAATAAGTCGCCGTGCATATCTCGGCTTATTGACGACCGATTGACACGGGACAAACACCGATCGATACCAAATGGCTCTGGGGGGGGGGGGGGGGATAGAGTGGCAAGTTTTTCTACCCGACGAACCCGGAATTATCCCGAGGGTGTAGGGGTGGGAGTAGAGTCGGGGGAACAAGGGGGGGGGGCGAGTACAAGTACCAAGCAAGTACCAAGTACTTTCGCAAGTACCAAGTACTTTTACAAGTACCAAGCAAGTACCAAGTACTTATGCAAATACCAAGCAAGTACCAAGTACTTTGGCAAATACCGAGTACTTATGCAAATACCAAGCAAGTACCAAGTTCATTTGAGTAGGATTTCGGGTTTTTTGAAACGCTCAGTTTTTGCAGCGAGCTTTTTCTCTTAGGGCTTGCGAGATATCTGCGTGCACACATATCTCTTCAACATTGCGCGCCTCACAGGAATGCGGCTGAATCACGTGCGATTGTGAGTGAGGTACCCCCAGTTGGAAGATTCGGCTGTAGAATTGTAGTTTTAAATACGTAGTTTGACGTACATCTCGGAAAAGTGAGATACGGCCAGAAATGAGTGTGGGTACCTCCGTCCTGAAGATTATGATCGGCGCCGATTGAAATAAGTCGCCGTGCATATCTCGGCTTATTGACGACCGATTGACACGGGACAAACACCGATCGATACCAAATGGCTCTGGGGGGGGGGGGGATAGAGTGGCAAGTTTTTCTACCCGACGAACCCGGAATTATCCCGAGGGTGTAGGGGTGGGAGTAGAGTCGGGGGAACAAGGGGGGGGGGGGCGAGTACAAGTACCAAGCAAGTACCAAGTACTTTCGCAAGTACCAAGTACTTTTACAAGTACCAAGCAAGTACCAAGTACTTATGCAAATACCAAGCAAGTACCAAGTACTTTGGCAAATACCGAGTACTTATGCAAATACCAAGCAAGTACCAAGTACTTTGGCAAGTACCGAGTACTTTGGCAAGTACCAAGTACTTTTGCAAGTTCAGCAAGTTTTTCGCCAATATCGAAGCTTCTAGACGTCCGATCGTCACCGGAAAAACACCATTCGATCCCAAATTTTCTCCCGAATCTTTTTATGGTCAAAGCGACGCGGAGCGAGCCAAGATATCTTGTTTAAATATCCATTTGAGTAGGATTGCGGGTTTTTTGAAGCGCTGAGTTTTTGCAGCGAGCTTTTTCTCTTAGGGCCTGCGAGATACCCGCGGAAACACATATCTCTTCAGCATTGCGCGCCACACAGGAATGCGGCTGATTCACGTGCTTTTGTGAGCGAGGTGCTTCCCTCCGGGAGAAATTCGCCGTCCCCATATGCTTAACACGGAGCCGAGCGGCGGCTGACAGGTGGCCGGCTCTCGGGAGATCGGCAGCCGACACTCGAAAAATCGACAACCCGCCGCTGAATGCGCGTGCGAAGATGAGCGGGGTGCCGCCGTTCCGGAGAGACGGCTGGAAAATTCCACCGGCCGGCCCGGCGGCAGTGTGTTGGGCGGCGGGCG